ATTTAATCTTGGTTTGCTGCTCTATAGGATGGACTGTTGTGTGAGTGGGAGGAGAGGAGAGAGGGCTGCTGCTAAAATGAAAGTGCCTCTGAGACTGAAAAAAAAAGTCAGTACTTAGGAAAGACATTGGGGGCAATAGTGTACTGTAGGTCCTCTGTACAACACCCTGCACTACTGTTTCCAGGATGGTTGATGCTAGAACTGAAAGAAGATGAGGGGATGTGGGGGACTTCTGTTCTCACAGGTAGGGGTTTTGTGCTGCTGGTGGTCTTGATGGGGACTCCGGCACCCCAAAACTACTTGCTGTTCTGCTTTTCAGCTATGTGCTGGAGTCTTAAGAGCTCTAAACAGTAAAAAAGTTTTGCCACAATTTCTGGGTAAGTAAATCAGCAGTAGACAACAATTCCCCCGTGTGGCTGAGAGATTCTGCCTCTCCGCCATCCAGATTGTTCCAAAAGTATCCAAAGAACCACGTGCTGACAGGCCTGGAGGAGTGCACTTAGGGACATCCAGAACGAAGGCTGGCTTCCTGTAGGAAAGAGGAGAAGCCAGAGCCTTGGTTTTAATCACACCCCCAAGTGGTCACTATGCCACACAATGCACCTTAGACAGCCTTTGGGAGCATACATTTGGGAGGTCAGTTCCTGTTTGGAAAGGCCAAAGAAAGGGGCACTAGGTCCTGGAGAAATGAGTCAAACTCTTCCCCAGAACTAAAGTTTCCAAAATAACGGCGTTGAAAATCTTTCAAGGATACAAACACTCCTGTATAGGATTTCCCCAAGTGTATGGGATTGTCACAAATTGCATGTCAAGGGATACAACCACAGAAGACAGGACAAGAGAATCTAATGTGACATCTTGGACTTGATATTGACTCATAGTGGGCCTACAAGATGACATAGAACTGCCCAAAGGGTTTCCTCGGCATTAACTTTATGTGTCCAAGTCACTGGGATTTTTTCCTCTGGCAGAGCTGTGGTGGGTTTGGAAGGTTGTCAGCCTTTGTGAGCACTTTGTACACATTATTGTGTTTCCCTTTACAATGTATGCTCCTGGTAGAAGGAGTTGGTCTTGTCAATATCTGTCACAGCAAACAGAAGGTGCTCAATTTGTGAATTTTGCACTAGACATATAATGTGAGCGGTATGCGTATTCACCTCAGTTCTCAGTGAGCACTTACTACAGTGTGGAGAGGAGGTGGCGGCATGGGCAATGTATGGTCACTTTTTCTATGGTCTGTAATAATTAAACATTTCAATTTCTGCATTTTTTTCATTTATGAGCGTCTGTCATCTTTTAAAAAAAAAATTGAGACATTAATCACCTTTCTTTGTTCCACCTGTGGAGGGTCGAGGGTTGGTGAGGATACTCACCTGACAATCTCCATCTCATTTAATCCTATCAGCAATTCTAGTCATTGTGTTCCCAGTGCTTCCTCAGGAAAAGTGAGGCTTAGAGAAGTGATGCGGTTTGATGGGGACATAACAAAAAGGAAGAAAAAGTCACTTTGGGGTACAGTCCCTCCTCCCTGATATGATAAATGCCGGGCAATGAGACTACACACTTCAGACCCCAGGGTCTGCAGTCAAACAAATGGTTCATTCAGATGCCATCTGAAACACAGAACAAGCCCTAAAGTCCCCAAACTGAGCCAGCCCCAGGCCTTGGCTCTCCTTAGCTATGAGTCATTGGGCAAGACAACTCACAAACAGAGGAAAATAATAATTCACAAGTAAAAACAATTCATAAGCTTAAATAATAATAATTTTATTTAAAAATAACGCAGTGTACTTAGTTCCCACATTTAGTGAACCTACAAGACAGAGTGGAGCTGCTCCACAGGATTGTTAGGATTGAAGGAAGTCCTTACAGACGCTGAGGGGCGCTCCTTTCTTCTGTGGAGCAGCTGGTGGGGTTGAATCAATTTACACCCAGTACTGTACCACTGAACCACCAAAGCTCCTTCATAACAATCCCAACTGGCATTTCTTGATCTTCTCCCTTGTTTCAGGCTCTCACCCCTCCAACCGTTCACACATTTCTTCCTAACAAGGTCAGCAGTTCATTTTATGCACCAGGAAAGTGGGACTCAGAAAGAGAAAGCTGCCAAACATTCGATGATCAACCAGAAAAGAGGGAGGTAAGACGAAGAAACATTATGAAATGCATTAATACGTTAAAATCTAACTTTACTCCAGTCACATATAAAATGCATTTTTAAAAAACCCCATCACCCAAACCACCAATTATATCATAAACAATTGAATGTAACTATTACAAATCTGAAAGGTTGTAAACCATGAGCAGTTAGATTTTATTTTCAAAATGCTTTTGTGAATGAAAAAAAAAAAAAAGTAAAGCCTGTGTTATCCTTTTGCCACGTGTCAAAGCAACTCTGCTTTCAAAAGAGTTATTTAACCTGGCCCTTCTGAGGATAAAGGAGGGTAAAACAGTCTTGAAAAGTGTAGTGCTGACAAATGCCTGCTATGGAGCAAGTTAGTTAAAGTTAGTTAGTGGTAGCCTGTCGTGAAACAGATATAAAGATGCATTAACTAATCTTCTTCAGGTGACAGCAACTTGCTTTTAAAATTGAACAAAATAAAAAATGAACAAAGGAGTGAAAATATAACAAGAGAATGATGAGAAAAGAAAATGAAAGGCAAATGGAGAAGCAAAAAAATATCCTAGCTGTTATCCAAAGAAAAGAAAATGAGCGGGCCTAAGGCAGAAAAGGACAGGGGCAGTGGGGGGAGAAGGGGGAAAAGGTACTGCTTTGAGAAAAAGCCTGAGTTGTTGGGTCGGGCAGTCACTCCGAGAAAAAGAAACTGATCATGACCCCCCTTAATGCTGAGGCTTGGTTTAGTTTTTGCGACTGTTTAGAGAAATCCAGCGCTCTCCTTACCATTAATCTTTTCCAAAGAAAGACTTTGTTCTGCACCTGTATAAACAATCCAGATTTTAAAAACGTATATGCTGCCCCTAATGTGTGAGGCTATGTATTTATACTGATAGTTTCAAGTCATCAACAGACGATGCACACAGCTAGCCTGGGATCTCCTGGTTACATCTTTGTGCTGCCCTCACCATCCCCTCCTACCCCCAAAATCCATGGCTGGGCGTGGAGCGCCTTGAATCAAGTTCAAGTTCAAGCGCTTCAGGGGCAATTTCCATGCTCCATCAAATAACTCCCCGCTTTTTCCCAGCCTACAGCGAACTGGGAAGGAGCTATCTTTTCACTCTGCTAGTTCCAGAAGGAGCGCCTTATCTTTCTCCCCCAACGACAAAATGTCCAGGGAGGGAAAACGTCTGCTAGTGAAGGCGAGTGGGAGGGGCTGTGTGAACTGTTCCGCGAGGGAGACGCGGCCCAATGGCCAAACGAAGAAGGTGGAATGATGCCTGAGTGATGAAGTCAGCCCTGTGGCAGCCACCTGTTGCCGCGCTTCAAGCATCAAGCCCAGCGCATTTGTTCTGGGCAAGAGCTGCTGCTCCTTCTGCTGTAGGATGAACCACACCACCCACCCCCCTCCGCCCCGATGCTTCTGCCCCCAGGGTCCGTGCGGACTGCGCACCTTCTGCCCCTGGCTAAGGGAGTCTGAGAGGTATTGGAGGGCGGGCAGGTGAACACCTAGGCTGAATGAGAAGGCTCTGGTTCCCCTTTGTAACAGTGAGTTCTTATCTCCTCAAACTCACAGCGTTTTAACTGCGCACAGTGACTACTGCGTGTGCCCTTCCGAACCAAGGAACCGATTTCATTAGCCCTTATCTCAATGGCCTTAGCGCTAGGGAATGTTGATCCTGCAGTTTTGTCTCTTTTGGGGTTTTTACTTTGGGTTAGGGATGGGTCACAATAATTCTTTTTTGGATTTTACTTTGGCTGACGATTGAACATTCTACATTAAGGAGAGGGCTCCTCAATACGGAATCTCAAGTAGTTTGGAGTTCCTAAACTATAACTCAATGCAGTAAAGCAAGATCTTCTATCCTATACATAGTATTTTTTTTTTCTGGGGTTGGTTTTGTGTGTGTATGTGTGTGTGTGTGTGTGTGGTTTTTTTTTTAAAGCATGGCATAGTCAAGTTGATGGAAAATACATGATACAGAATCTACTGGCAAGTAGCAACCAAGGATTCCAACAGCAGATTTTTTTAAAGTTCCTCCTCTCCAGACAAGTTTGGCAACGTGGAGTCATGTTCTTAACATCTTCATGACTTAACTTCAAGTTCTTTAAAGCAGGGATAATATTAAAGCCACAAAATATTAGAAGAGGAAATGCACTAATGTATGTGAAAGAGCAGCTAAAGAAAAAAGCAAGTGTCAAAGGAGATGCAAATACTGTGGATGATGAGATGTTCGTCCTTTGGGGTTTTATTTTTTCTCGGATAGGCAGTGATGAACTTCCAAAATGGGTTGAAAAAGACCAAAGCAATCAGAGATTGAGATCTTGGGGTCTCTAAAGGTCTGAAAGGCATCACTGCTAAGACTAGTTGTGGGTGGAAGTGAGGTGGATAGGAATAATCCTCCCCGCCCCAGTATTCCTACCCAAGAGACAGCACATAAACACGCATCTCGAGCAGACATTCAGAAGTTTCAGGGATATCTGGGTCCAAATTGTGGATTTACAGAGCCGCCCCCTTCCCCCACTCCCACCAAGGGTTCCCCTTAAGGCAGAAAAAGTGGTCCCCACCCCTTCCCCGCCCCCGCCCCACCTCTTGCCCCCACCCCCTCCGAACTCCTCTTCTTTGCGGGGGTGGTTGGTTCCTACAAGTCCTGATAAGCAGCCCCATCAAAAGGCGCGAGTGGAGGAGGCGCGCGCGGAGCCCGGCCCTCTCTTTCCCGGGGTCAGCGGCGGGCGCTTGCCCTCACCGACCCCTGCGTCCCGCCGCCCGGCCCCGCGTCTCCGGGGAGCGCTCCCAGGTCCCCTCCTCCGCGAGGGAGCAGAAGGCGGAGGGCGAGCCTGGCCCGGGGGAGCCAGGAGCGCGCGCGGGCGTGGAGACGACGCGATGTCCACCGGCTCGGTGAGCGACCCCGAGGAGCTGGAGCTGCGGGGGCTGCCCCGGGGGTACTCAGTCTCCGCCTCCGCGCGGCCGCCCCTGCACGGCGCCGAGCGCGGCTACGCCTCGCCCAGTGACAACTCGTCGGGCGAGGAGGAGGACCCCGACGGCGAGGAGGAGCGCTGTGCGCTGGGCGCGGCCGGGGCCCCGGGCGGCAGCAAGAGGAAGCGGCCCCGCGCGGCCCGGGGCAGCGGCGCGGGCGGCGGGAGCGGCGGCCCCGGCAGCGGCTGCAAGAAGCCCCTTCCGCCCAAGAGCTCGGCCGCCGAGTGCAAGCAGTCTCAGCGCAACGCCGCCAACGCCCGCGAGCGCGCCCGCATGCGCGTGCTCAGCAAAGCCTTCTCCCGCCTCAAGACCAGCCTGCCCTGGGTGCCCCCCGACACCAAGCTCTCCAAGCTGGACACGCTGCGCCTGGCGTCCAGCTACATCGCGCACCTCCGTCAGTTGCTGCAGGAGGACCGCTACGAGAATGGCTACGTGCACCCGGTGAACCTGGTAGGGGCGCACGGCGAGTGGGCTCGGGAGCCACTCTGGGGGGTCCTGGGCGCAGGTCGGGCCGAGGCTGGGCGAGTTTCCAGGAGAAGAATCTTGTATTCCGTAGCACGTGATTACCCCGTGTTCGCATCGCTCTGGTCCATGTATGTGGAGCTACACGCCCAGGCACTGACCCGGCCTAATGTCCTACTTCCGGGAAAAATCCACTATCTGGTGGCCGATTGAATCCAGATCTCCCTCGCCTAACTTTTCCCAGCTAAGAATCTAACAGGCTTGATTGAGCAAAAACTGCTCTCTACACGGAAGGACGAAGGGCTGGGCTTTGCAAAGGAGCCTTTAGGGTTTGAAATTCCGGCAGGATAGCAAAGATTTCCCAAATCCGATTCACCCAGAAAGCCCCTCTCAGACTTGCCAACGACTTTATGCGAGCTTGTCCAGGTCGCGCGCGTGTGTGTGTGTGTGTGTGTGTGTGTAGAAAAAAATACCAAAAACATTCATGTCTTACCTAACCACCTGGAAGGCAAACTAGAGGGAAGCGTGGACAACTCTCGTTTTGCATAATCAATGTCCAGTAAAATGAAAATTTTCGTTCAGAGAGAGACACGCAGGTTCCCAGAAGACTGATTAAAATCGGAGCTATTTAAAGTCAGAGTTATCCCGGGGGCTGATTTAGGAGGTCGGTTTCGGTTTGAGAAAGAGGTTTCTCCTCTCATATCTGATGCTCTTTTTGAATTTACAGACCTGGCCGTTCGTGGTCTCAGGACGCCCCGACTCTGACACCAAAGAAGTTTCTACAGCCAACAGACTATGTGGCACTACCGCTTAGATCAGACTGGAGCCCACTGGATGGGATTTATTTGTTAACCGTGTGCCTTTGGGGACTACAGAGAAAAGGGAGAGAGCTCAGGAACCCCAAAGTATGGAAAGAAATTCCTCTAGATTAACAGAGTTCCTTTGGGACTGTGAACTGAGAGGTGGCCTTGAGAGCTTGTGGTGTGCCCTGGGGTTTCAGGGTGCACAGGGCAGAACTCTGGGGTTCCCTGGCATGGCCTGTCCTTAGAGGGTGCCTGTGGCCACTGCTACTGCTGACATGGATGAACACAGAAAGGGCTTTTCTAGAAAAGATCTCTGAACTCTGACTTTGGGTTTTAGCGTTGTACACAAGTCCAGTCAAGACCATTAGTGGATTGGTTTCCCAGCTGACTGGGCCAGATGTGTAGTATATGATGGTGCTTCTGCACCAGCCAGATATTTCATTCTAGACAGCAATAGACTCTGATTTCAACTGACTTTGGATTGGTGTGAATCTGGCAGAGAGAGGAGAGTGGTATAGCTGGGCCAGGTTTTATCTTTCCCCCGACAGCTCCCTCCCCATTGGCAGCCCCAAACCATTGGACTTTAGAGCAGGGATTTCCGATTTCCCAGATCTTGGAGTTTGGTTTTTCTGAGGCTGAGTTTTGTGTTTTGAGGGGCACTCCTGGATTCTTGATTTTCAGTCAGCTATCAGGTTTCCTAGTCTTTCCAGAAGCTGCCCTTCACCCGCAAGCCTCATCTTACAGTAGCCTGTTTCCTTCTAAGATCTGGCCACTCTTCCCCTACTCATGTCCCCACCAGGCATTGTCCTCTCCCCAGGCTTGAGGCTCACTTTACTCCCTGACTTAGGGAGACTCACCCAGACCCACCTCCACCAGCTCTCCTTCACCTATATCAGATTTTTCTCCTCATTTCTCCCTTCCCAGTCTCCCCCTCTTCCCCAGAATCATGAGGCGCTCACCTCCAGGGTCCCTTGTTCTCATTCTTGCTGCAGATCTAGCTCAGTGGTGGATCTTGGGTTTCAGCCACTTGACCTTGCTGTAGGGAACATGCCATTGCCCTGGGACTGCACTACCACAGTAATTAGCAAATGTAAATAAATTTATTTTTTTATAAATAATAAAACACATTGTGAAAATTGCACCCATGAGGGGCTTCTGAGTGTGGTCTTTCTTGCTGTACCTTATCGAGGTGGTTTAGTCAGGAAGATTAAAGGTAGGAGTCAGCTCTAGATCAGATCTGGGGTCATTATCAGCAGATGATTTTCTGCAGGTGAATGACATTCAGATCACTGGATTTCTGAGTTTCCTTTTTAATCTCTCTAATTCTAACTTTTTCTGCAACCAAAGTTTCCTGAAACACAGAGACTGGGGCTTTGTGGCCAAAGACAGTTGAAAGGCAGTCCTCTAGGTTAAGGTGCTTTCTCTCTACCTCCGCCCCCAAATCCCCCCCCCCCAAGGGAGAGAAAGCTTTCTTCAGCCTAATGCAGTATCCACTCCAAAGGTTAGTAGCTCAAGAATCCCCAAAGCAACCCCCTAAATCTCCAGTCCTCAGGGGTAACTGAAAGAATAAAAACATTAAAAGACATTAATTTGTGTCTCAGTAGAGCTTTTCCTTTCCCAAATAATGTTTATTTAGCATTTTTTAAAAAAATATTTTTATGTGCTCTAGGTATGAAACAGCTTTGGCCACAACCCAGGCATCAAGCTAGGATGAACAAAGGACTCAGTCTAATCTGCCCCTGACTGATAAAAGAGCACCACCATCAATCAGGTGTGCCTCTGCCCATAACCAGGGGTTATTTAGCATTTTTTTAATCACACCTCACATTGTTTAATTTCTTCCATTTTCATTGCAATTTGTATGAAAGACAGTAACTTGGAAAGCCCAGAACAAGGTGAGTTTATGGTTTTGGTTTTGGTTTTCGGATTTTTTAAAAAATGCCAGTCTATTTTAAAGCAACATTCTCTTTGTAGAAGTTTTAGACAATTCAGAAAAGTGCAAAATGTGAGACTACCTAAGGATCTATCTGACAGACGGTTCCATCTATATTTTATAAAAGTGAAAAATTTCCTGATTAGAGAGAAAATAACCGGATTTTGATTAGGATATGGGTTGAGGGAGAAGTTATAAAAAAACCCCAAACACCCACACCACACACTTTTTTCCCCCCATCCAAACCAAGCCAAAACTCCTTTCTGAACTTTTGTTCTCAAACTTTTTGTTCATCTTCCTGAGCTTTTGTTCTAACTCTGGAGCGAGATCCAGTCTCTGGACCCAGTCTTGCCCAGGTGGGCTTTTGGTTTACATTAGTTGACCTCTAGGCTGAGGCTTCCAGGAGGAGAGAACAGGGTTTGTAGCTCTTGGCAGGAAGTTCTCCTAGGCTTAAAATCAGTATATATATATTCTGGGTGGTGGCTGTGAAGGTGAATGGGTGTTTGCTGCAGATCAGATTGCATTACAGTTCTGAAAATTTCTAGTCCCTTTCTAAGAAAAAAGGAGGATGAACATGATAGTTGGTTAAGACCAATCTGAATGTCTTAAGAAATTGAAAGCCCCTAACTCTTCATCCTATGAAATTATTTAATTCCTTTAAACCTTAATTTCCTCCTCTATGAAAAGAGCAATAATAGTACTGGTCTGGGATAAAGTGAAGATCTAGTAATCAATCCTAACACATAGCAAGAAACACACTAAATAACTGGCTGGCTACTAAAGGGAGACCAGAGGCAAGAAAGGAACTGGCTGTGGTGAAAGGTGGGACCTTTAAGGATTCCAGTCTCTAAAAGGCTGGTCAGGTGGGTTTTTCTTCTTTTAATTGTAATTTGAGTGAAGGTTTGTAAGGAATACTGGTTTTTGGTTTTTTTCCCCAACAAAACAATTACTCTTTTTTAATTTTATCTGTATGCATATATACATTAATATGCATGTGTTTCACTCATGTACATAGTGGGGGGTTTTGGTATTTCATACTTTCCTTCACTGCATGATTAGTTCCACAACACCAGTTGCAATATGTACAATATCTGAGTGCCCTTTCCTTCCACATTGTCCTTCCCACGTGTTTAGATGCCTGGATCACAGCTTGAAAAGAAAAATGCTGCACAAGAGTGGAAGAGCAGAGAAAGAACAGCTACTAATGCGCAAAGACGGAGGAGAATACATACTTGAGCAAATAAGGAAATACTGGGTCACATATTCCTAAATAGTAGCTGTTTTAAAACATAATAGTAGCTGTTTTAAAACATTTATTTCTGGAATGGTATTCTTTCAAAGTACTTTAGAGAAGAAGTTCAAATATCTCTTCCCCCTGACCCCTTGTGTCCACAGGTGACAATTACTCACATGTGGGCATGGTGTTGTATTGCACCTATAGCTCATTGTGTGACCATTTTTAATATGGTTATCTATAAAGAAAAATAAAAGAACATATGAGAACAATCTGGAACAAGAAGTGTATTGCAAAGTGGACTCTTGGAGGTGCTGAGAAGGGAGAGGGAAGAAAATGTGCAACAATGAATAAATAACAATTTTTTAAAAAGACTTTTTTTGCTCCACTCTTTCTATAAAATGTCCAAAGCTAAGAGTTGGAGGAAAGAGGGAGAGGGAAGGAAAAGGAGGAAAGAGAACAGAGAAAAGCGGTAAATATCTCAGTTCTCAAATCTTTAAACAGCATAAGTATGGTTTTCTTTTATAATAGGATCTACGTGGTAAAGAGTCATCTGTCATAAAGTATTTTCCCCCTCTCATTATTTTCCTTCATGAGTTTGAGTGAAAATGGGGAATTGGGCATGGTGGGCTGGGTAATTAAGAGAAAAGAGAAACATGCCCTTAGATTTTCTGCAGGTGGTTATGCTATAAGAGAAAGGATTGGGGGGGGATATCTTCTTGTTTAAATAAACTAATTCCTCATAAGGATAAGTAAAAAACACTAGATAAACAAAATAAGAAAATTGAAACACTCTTTGAGGGGCTTTTTGAGGGACCCAACCATTACTATTAGTGATGCTGACTCAATTGAAGAAAACCAAAATCCCCATTCACAGACCATTCCTGATATGAATGCAGTAAGATGCAATGTCTTCAGCATTGTCATTTTGAAACATTGAATTGATTCTGTCCATACTCTTCTGCACCACTTGGTGTCAAAATACATCTGGTGACAAGGACCCTGTTGTTGTTGTTATGTGCCCTCAGTCGCTACTCAAAATGTAAAAAGAAGGTAGAAGTCCCCCCACCTTTTAGTATTAATTCTTCACAAGCTAATTTTAAAAAAGACTTTTCCCATTTTTTTAAAAAAAAACTAAGTGAAACACATTTCTTTCAATTGATAATAGGTAGTTCGTTTAACACTTTTTTAGGGAAAAAAAATGTAACTCTGAAGTTGTTCCCTTAACCATGTTTGGAACCACAAAACAAGGACACTCGATTCCTTCTCAATGTCTGGTGTGTCATTGCCAACAAGATCCACAAGAGGTATGGGGTGCAGATGGGCTGGTGCCTGTGGGAACTGAGCACCCTCTTGTCTGGGTCTCGCCCTGAGAAATTCTCAACAGCCAGGATGCTCTCAACTTTGCACTCAGCACTTTCTTTCATGTATTATGTTCTGTCCTTTGCATTCTTCTTAATCCCAAAACTTTGACCTTGATGGCAGAGGAAGTCATTGCAACTATGCCTCTACGACTAAACTCCAGAAATTGGTCAGAATTAGAAATCCATCCAGGGGGAAACATAATTCACACTAGTCTACCAGTTACTACAGATTATTTCAGCCTTCTGTGTAAATTCTCTTATCACCACTTGGAGTCCTTCATAGTTTAATGTAAAGAGGACTGTAGAATGATTAAGATCAGGGGTTTACAGTAAACCTGAAAGCAACACACTCAAAGCCCTTCTATTTGTAACTCACAAGTTTGTTCTCTCTAGGTTTGTTCCCTTTCCTATAGGTAACCTTAACACTGATTTTTACTCCAGAATTGACCCTGAACAAAAAAGTGACAAAAAAGGAAATAC